TGTCTTTAGTAAATGCTTTAATGATTAATTTTTCAACAGACAAGCCTATCTCAACACACCAGCCTCTCCCAACAGACCAGCCTCTCTTAACAGACCAGCCTCTCTCAACATACCAGCCTCTCTCAACAGACCAGCCTCTCTCAACAGACCAGCCTCTCTCAACAGACCAGATTCTCTCAACAGACCAGCCTCTCTCAACACACCAGTCTTACCACATAACAGACCAGCCTCTCTCAACAGACCAGCCTCTCCCAACAGACCAGCCTCTCTTAACAGATCAGCCTCTCTCAACAGACCAGCCTCTCCCAACAGACTAGCCTCTCTTAACAGACCAGACTCTCTCGACAGACCAGCCTCTCAGAACCGATCAGCCTCTCTCAAAAGACCAACCTCTCAACAGACCAGCCTCTCTTAACAGACCAGATTCTCTCAACATACCAGCCTCTCTCAACACACCAGTCTTACCACAAAACAGACCAGCCTCTCTCAACAGACCAGATTCTCTCAACAGACCAGCCTCTCTCAACACACCAGTCTTACCACATAACAGACCAGCCTCTCTCAACAGACCAGCCTCTCCCAACAGACCAGCCTCTCTTAACAGATAAGCCTCTCTCAACAGACCAGCCTCTCCCAACAGACTAGCCTCTCTTAACAGACCAGACTCTCTCGACAGACCAGCCTCTCAGAACCGATCAGCCTCTCTCAAAAGACCAACCTCTCAACAGACCAGCCTCTCTCAACAGACTAGCCTCTCTCAACAGACCAGCCTCTCCCAACAGACCAGCCTCTCTTAACAGATAAGCCTCTCTCAAAAGACCAACCTCTCAACAGACCAGCCTCTCTCAACAGACCAGATTCTCTCAACAGACCAGCCTCTCTCAACACACCAGTCTTACCACATAACAGACCAGCCTCTCTCAACAGACCAGCCTCTCCCAACAGACCAGCCTCTCCCAACAGACTAGCCTCTCTTAACAGACCAGACTCTCTTAACAGACCAGACTCTCTCGACAGACCAGCCTCTCAGAACCGATCAGCCTCTCTCAAAAGACCAACCTCTCAACAGGCCAGCCTCTCTCAACAGAC